AATTTATAAAGGAAAGAGATTTAACTGACTCACAGTTCAGCATGGCTGGAGAGGCCTCAGGAAACTTACAATCATGATGGAAGGGGAAGCAAACACCTCCTTCACGTGGTAGCAGCAAGGAGAAGTGCCGAGCAAAAGGGGGAAAAGCCCCTTAGAAAACCATCAGATCTTGTGAGAACTCACTATCATGAGAACAGCAGCATGGGGGTAACCACCCCCATGATTCAATTACCTCCCACTGGGTCCCTCCCATGACACGTGGAGATTATGGGGACTACAATTCAAGATGAGATTTGGGTGAGGACACAGTCAAACCATATCAGGGGAGGACCCTACCTCTACTAAGACCAAGATTACCAAGGCCTCAACATAATTATTTTCTGCTCTCCAACCTCCTAGCCCAGAAACAGGGACTTAGGGCTTTCTGAAATGAAATTCCCAGGCCGGGCGCGGTGGCTCAAGCCTGTAATCCCAGCACTCTGGGAGGCCCAGACGGGCGGATCACGAGGTCAGAAGATCGAGACCGTCCTGGCTAACATGGTGAAACCCCGTCTCTACTAAAAAATACAAAAAACTAGCCGGGCGTGGTGGCGGGTGCCTGTAGTCCCAGCTACTCGGGAGGCTGAGGCAGGAGAATGGCGTAAACCCAGGAGGCGGAGCTTGCAGTGAGCTGAGATCGTGCCACTGCACTCCAGCCTGGGCAACAGAGCAAGACTCCGTCTCAAAAAAAAAAAAAAAGAAATCCCCAGGATACCTACAACCTAATGTGTACCTAGAAAATGATGGAGTGAAGATGGCCTTTCAGACCTGCTTGACTAGTCTGAATGCTCATGATGCTGTTGGCCCAGGAAGTGCCCTGGCCGCCTCCACCTCAATAGCACCACCCACTCTGCCTCTTCCCAGTGTCATGATCTTGGGCAAGTGACTCCACCTCTCCAAGCATCAGGTTCTTTATCTATAAGGTGGAGATAATAATAGTGCCTGCCTCACAGTGTTATATGAGTAAATGAGATGCTGAGCGAATCCTGCTTAGCACATTGCCTGGCACCCATTGTCTCATCACCACCACCACCACCACCGTTAGCACCATCACCATCCTCATTCCATCCTCCCACTTTACCTGTCACCACCACCACCATTATCATCATCCTGTCATCTCATTGTCCTGTCATTATCATCATCCCATGACCCCATCCTCCTCCTCATCATCACCTTGCACACTCCTTGGGACTGAAGTGTTCTATATTGTTGCCAGTCGATGTCTTCCCCAGACCCAGGTTCCCACAAGCTCCTGGTCTGGGCAAGCCTCAATTGCCTGTTTCAGCCCTCCTTCTGACTCCACCTAAGATCCCTGAGAGGGGACAGTCAAATGGCCTTCCTAGGACACCGTGTTCAGCCACAGGTTCTCAGAATGACATTGGGAAAGGTGTCTGTGGTTCTGGGCTATGAGCCCTTACGTCAGTTACCAAAAAAAAAAAAAAAAAAGAAGAAGAAGAATCTATTATTTCTGTGGTTCCTCTGATACCACCAGCCAATCATTTTGCATTTTCTGGCCCTGAACATTCAAATAACACATTTTTCTCAAAGCAGGGACATTTCCAGACACTTTCAGATTGTCTGGTTCCAGTGGCTGAAGATCCTAGCTGCTCTATGCTGATGCTGGCCTGCCAGGCAGCCAGAGTTGCCCTGCCGAGCAAGGTCCTCCTCCAACTCTGGAGGGCTCACCTAGAGGGAAGGCTGGCCACTTCCACCCCGACTCTATGTTCCTAAAGGTTGGCCTGGAGAAAGGTCACACTGGTGCTGCTCTTCAAGGCCTGGGGTCGCTCCCCCTGGCTCCAGAGAGAGCGGGCTCTGACTTCCACAGCCTGGAGCAGCCACCCTGGCACAGGCCCTCCACCCGCACCAGAAAATGAGCCTTCCTTTGTGAACACTTGAGTCTCTGTCTCTAATGACAGACCAGCAAGGTGATGCCTCCTTGAGCCTCGGTTTCCTCATCTTAAACTGAGAACAGGGCCCCTCTCACAGAGCTGGGCATGCTCTTGTGTGAAAGCATGTAGTTGGCACGTATGCCATTGAGAAGAGGCAGCTGCTCTTCAGTGCCAGGCAGCAACTGCCAGGAGACCGCTCCACTGGGGCCACCAAGGGACCAGGAGACCTGGGAGGTGGCCCCATCCTGGGAGGTCCCCAAGCCTAAGAATCTTGTGGTCATTCAGTCTCAGACACTGACAAATCCCAGGCAGCGTGAGTGCAGGTGGGGACCCACAAGTAGAGGAGCCTCTGAGAGGAGAATGCCAGCAAGAGCCCACAGTGGCCCAGTCCCTGCGACAGACCCCACCGTGCTGCCGTTGCCACTTCTCCCTCTATCCTGAAAGGCCACAGTGGGCCAGTCCCCGCGACAGACCCCACCGTGCTGCCGTTGCCACTTCTCCCTCTATCCTGAAAGGCCACAGTGGGCCAGTCCCCGCGACAGACCCCACCGTGCTGCCGCTGCTGCCTCTCCCTCTATCCTGAAAGGCCACAGTGGGCCAGTCCCCGCGACAGACCCCACCGTGCTGACGCTGCCACCTCTCCCTCTATCCTGAAAGGCCACAGTGGGCCCAGTCCCTGTGACAGACCTCACCATGTTGACACTGCTGCCTCTCCCTCTATCCTGAAAGTCCACAGTGGGCCCAGTCCCTGTGACAGACCCCACTGTGCTGACGCTGATGCCGCTCCCTCTATCCTAAAAGGCCACATCTCACAGTGTGGTGAGGAACTTGGGCTGCAGAGTCAGACAGTCCTGGGTTCAAGTCCTAGCTTACAAGACTCATGCCTTGGTCAAGTAGGTTCACATCACTGAGCCTCAGTTTCCTCATTGTGGGGAGGGTAAGGGTGCTTTACACAAAGTTTTGGCGACAGTGTGAGTGCACTCGATGAAGTTGCAGGGGCATCAGAGCGTGTGAGCACGTGAGTGCTCACTACCTAGTGACTACTTGGTCTGTTGAGAGCCCCCCAGCGACCCCTGGTATCCTCGTGCTCCCTGCCAGTCCACTCCTCACTCCTTTAGGGAGGACATGAGGAAAGGCTGCTTATGAGGCTGGCCTGCTTGGAAGATGCTTGCTTCAAGCTCTGCATCAACAAATGTCAGTTCTTTCAAACATCTGTGAAATACGAAGCCACGCACTGTCTCACGCAAAGGGAGAGAATGACGGGAAGAAAGTAGCCGCGCTGGCCACTGTGCCCTGCCTCAGGTGCTGTGGGAACTGCGGACGGTCCACTGCCATCACATTCTCCTCAGGTAACAGGGAAAAAGACAAGAAGAAAAGTGGCCAAGGGGCCAGAGGGCCCGGCTCTGGGAAGGTGGACTCCATCCTCAGCTCCCAACACGTGGCAGCTCAGAGCTGGAATCCAGCTCAGGTGAGGAGGACACGTCCCTGGGTAGCAGACAAAGCCACACAGGATCTCACTGCAGGAAAGTCCATTGTCAGACCCTGCTCAGAAGAAATCCCTGGGTACAGCTGGAAGAAGAGCAGCCCCGGAGGCAGCCGTGGCCAGTTCCCCTGAGCAGTGCTGCTTCTGCACGGGCTCGTGCAGTGACCTGCCGTGCTAGTGCACTCACTTGCGAGGTGCCCAGCATGTGGTGTCGGTAACAGTGAAGCTGGTGACTGACTTGTCCAGAATGAGAGACTCATGGTTATCTGCATGGTTCACATTCACTCGCTGCACTCCACCCCTCTTTCTGAGAGGGAGGTGGCCGTCGGGCCAGTGGCCTGGTAGTTTAGTACACAGACTCTTGTCTGTGCTACAGCTCAGTATGGGCGGTGGTGGGGTCAGTCTATGACCACCCTGACACCCGTTATGTTAGAGAACTGGGGGGCCAAGCACATGCTATGGTACACCATCCAGAGAGGAGGAGCCGATGGGCAGGAGGCTCAGGGGCCTGGAGCAGCCATCCCAGCTAACCATCAGACTCCCACCAGCCCTGGGCCCTGGACAGTGGACCCGAGATGGTCATCAAGAAGAGCTCCTTCCTGGGAGGAGGACAGAGGCTCCTGGGCAGGTCCGATGTACCTGCTGCAATGCGTGAGGGCGGCCCCACACCACCCACAGGCGCTGGTGTCACAGAGCAACATGCAGCAACCTACGGCTGACCATGGAGGACTGAGGGGATCTTACAAAGGAACTCTGGGCCTCATCTGACTTTATTAAGTTGATTACATTGTTGTCTGACCAATGGGCAAGAAGAGCTGTGGTCAGAGAATAGGCCATGCCTCAAGGGTGGAGAGAAGGTTGGAACATCAAGTGGATACGGGACGTGAGTCTTCTAAGACAGGAGAGGCTAAAGGAGAAAGAGGGTGCCTCCCTGTAAAGAGGCAGAGCAGGCAGCTGCACGTTGCCCTGGAAAGGCTCACTGCCGGGAGTGCAGGTGAGAGGAAAGCCAGAGGGCCGCCCACGGAGCAAGCTTGGAGCATGGACTCCCGGATGCTGCAGCAGGTCACAGAGCAAGTTTGCAGCGGCCTGGCTGGAGCCGTAGAGGAGACTGTCCAGTGGAGAGGATGTTGCAAACAGAAGGCTCCAGTTATGTCCTGGTGAATGGCCCCCAGGCCTGACATGCAAGGCTGCCCACAATTCTGTGTGCACTTTTCATGTGGACTTGCCGTGGATTGTCGGGGCTGTACAGTGTTTGCTATGAAACATCTCAGCCCCAAACTGAGGCAAGTGGGCGTGCCTGGATTTTAGTCATGCTCTTGACACTGGAAAAAGGGTGAACACTCAATAAAAAGTTGAAAGAATTACCTGGAGACTTGGAGATTCTGAGGGTTGCTGTGTTTATTGGCCGGGCAGCTCCAGGTGTGCTTGCAGTGTGGCCGAGGAGGCTGGGGAGAAGTTGGGGAGGGAGGGAGGTTGCTCTGCGGGGCTTCCTGAGCTAACTGATTATGTAGTCCGGGGTGCTCTTGCCTCCTTCAGGAGCATCTGGTCTTTCAAAGCTGTTGCTAAAATTTAACCCTTTTCCTCTGAAGCAGGGGACGTCTCTATGCCACCCTGGGGCCCAACTGGCGGGTTCCAGTTCGGAACTCTCCCAGAACCCGGAGCTGTGTCTACAGGTATCCATGTGTTCATGTGTTCATTTGTTTGACACATAGCTTGTTATATGGCGTGTTGGATGCCAAGCACTGTGCTAGAGGCTGCCGAAAGAAACAGACACAGCCTTTGCCCCCGTGAGGCTACTGCCAGGTGCACTGGCTGTCCCAGAGGAGGTGAGGGGCACTCAGGAAGAGGAGGGGGAGCTTACTTGGTTCGGGAGCTCAGGGAGGGCCTCCCTGAAAAAGAGACTGGAAGAATGATAGGAATTCGCCAAATAATTGGAAGTGGAGGGGCAATGAGAGTGCTGCCAGCAAAGGGACAGCGTGGGCTGTGAGGCAGGAAGGGCTGGATGATTCGAGTGAAGGGAAGGGAGGGAATGTTGGAAGGAATGAGAGAGGGCAGGGACATGAGATGAGCCGGAGCCGCATCCAGCATCCAGCAGGGGTGAGGATGGTGGCTCAGACCTTAAAAACGACAGGGAACCATAAAAGGGGCTTGCTGTGGGTGGGTGAAGGAGAGGAGAGGAGACAGGGAGGGTGGAGGCACTGGCCAGTGTGGACCCAGGAAGGCCAGTGGAGCGCACTGGGCAGTGGCTCAGAGGACGGTCCAGTGGCCTAAGTTGTAGTGGGATGGCTAAGATGGATGGTCAGACATGTTTAGTACCTGATCCCCAGTGCATCCTTGGGATTGATTAGGTTACAGGGACATTCGAAACAGAAGAAAACCCCAGCTTTCTGGCTGAAGCAGCCAGTAGGGGGTGGTGCCGTTCCTGGGGCGTGGGCAGATCTGGAGCTCAGGAGGGAGGTGTAGGCTGCCATGCCCTTGGACACCTTCATCTGTAGGTGATGCTTGAGTCCCCAAGAGAGAGGATGAGTGAAGAGCCTGGGAAAGGTGTGGGGAATGGTGCGTGTGGGCTCGCGTCCCTCTTGTCACTCCACACCCTCTTCCCTTCCTCGCTGCTCCTCTGAGGCTCCGGCCAACACCAGAAGGAAGGGCTGCTGGAGCTGGGGCTTCACAGGCACCAGCTCCTCAGGTGTGGAGGAGCCCACACCAGCCCCAGGGAGCGGCCAGGCTGCAGCCACGACAAAAGCAGCCCTCAGGATAGGTTGGGGGTGCTGATCGGGGCCTGGGTTATGAGGAACTTGGTCACCAAGCCTGGAGCTTTGCCGCCCCAGAGAGACGGGTGTGGGAGTCCTTGGCGGTGGGCCCTTCATATGCGTCATCACCTGGCCCTCCCCTCCGGGCCTTGCCCTGTGCTGTTGAGTCTGGACTGCTGGGACATCTCGGACTTGGTAGTGGGGCACCTGTGGTCCCCAGTGAGAGAGAGGGGACTTGACCTCAGCTCCTCCAGGGCGATGTCTGACCGGTGGTCTCTCCTCAGCCCCACCGGCCCGTGCATCTGTTCTCTGGGGAATTCGGCAGCCGTGCCCACCATGGAGGGGCCTCTGAGAAGAAAAACCCTGCTCAAGGAAGGGCGGAAGCCTGCGGTAAGTACAGACCCGCATCCACCTGGGCAGCAGGGGCTTCCGCGTCTGTAAATAGTGCTCACTCCTAGAGGTCTCAGCAAGAAAGTCACATGCGTGGCAGAGGCCCGGCTTGCAGTGGGCGTGCAGTGAGCTGAATTCTCAGGAATTATGCCCGACACTGCCTTAAAATGAACCAAGGAAGGGCTCCCTGAGTAAAGGAGCAAGAGAGGGGAGGGAAGATGCCTCCTCTCTTGCTCCTAGGTGGAAGTTAGCATTGCCAGGGGGTGGTGGAGGGCCAGGGAAGAGATGGGGCCTGTAGTGGCATTGATGGGATGGCTGGGTCTGGAATCAGCCAGGGGTCCTCTACCCCCATGACCCCTGGTGGCATCACTCAGCCTCTCCTTCCTCTGTAGCTGTCCTCGTGGACCAGGTACTGGGTCATACTCTCAGGATCCACCCTCCTGTACTACGGAGCCAAGTCCTTGCGGGGCACAGACAGAAAACACGTAAGTCCCTTGAAAGGACTCTAGTACTGGGACTTCCTCTAGTGGGGAAGGGAGCTCTGTGAACTGTGGAGGATGGTGGTGGGAAAGGGATCTATGTGGACTGCGGACGATGCAGGCGGGAAGGTGGCAGGGGAGGGAGGGAGCCTTGCCTGACCCAGGTCGGCCTCCCTTGCGGAGTGGAGGGCTGGGCCCGGGTCTCCGGCTGTGTTGTTGCTCTCCTCCAGTATAAATCCACACCTGGCAAAAAGGTTTCCATCGTGGGCTGGATGGTGCAGCTGCCTGATGACCCCGAGCACCCAGATATCTTCCAGCTGAACAACCCTGACAAAGGTAGGCAGCAGGCCAGAGCTGGTGCCTGCAGCTGCTCTCTGCCCATTTTCTCTCCTGCTCAGTGTGCATTTTGAAGTTATTAGGAGCTTTTGAGGCTGCTGCCTTCCCTTTGCTTTAGATTCTGATGTTCGTGGGGTCCATGCTAGTCCACAAAAGCTGCATAGATCATGGTTGGCACGTCCTTTGAGCAGGGTACGAGGCACAGGGTGCTGGAATCCTTTTTGCGGCCTTACCTGTGGCTACTGGGGCCCATCACGCCAGGAGCTGTAGCCTCACGGTCTTGGAATAAATAGTAAGGCTGGATGAAGCAGGGCCATGAGGCTGGAAGGGTCTTGGCTCTGGGGAGATTTCAGGGATCCCCTGACATGCCTGTGCCATGAGACTCTGGCAGTGTCCAGATCCAAGGCCAACTCAGAGAAGAACCCTTTTAACTTCCCAAAGCTCCAGCCTTCTCTAGCTGTCTCCCAGTTCCTCCTGGTTCCCACTTCACGATCATGCTGTGAAGAAGGAGAGATTCTGGATGCCATCCTGTCGAGTAGCCCTGTCTTCACTGACATTCGGAACAGACTATGGCGGGTCTCCTCAGTCACCCATGTCTCATGACAAAACTCCAAAATTGCCTGGGTCAATTGGATTCCAACCAGGCAAACTGATTGGGGCTGGAAAATCCCCACGCATTTTCACACCTTAACAGGAATGTTCTACTGTAGGGTTCATGAACACACAAATCACCTGGAGATCTGGTTAAAATTCAGATTTGGATTCAACAGATCTGGGGTAGAGACCAAGATTCTGCATTTCCAACAAGCTCCCGGGCGATGCAGATGGCGGTGCTGGTGGGGAGACCATGCCTTGAGTGTCAGGCTCTAATGTTCTTAGCTGAGAAGCAGAGAAACAAAGGGAGCCTCCAGGATCCTGGAATGGGGAAGAGAGAAATTGCCAAGTTCTCTGCTCAGTGTCTAAGTGACTGAACCCACATTTGTTGCACACATGTGGCAGTGTGTCCTCAGTTTGGTTACCATTGTTCCTCCCTCAACAGTCTGGACCGGATTAGCAGTGGTTTCTTAAGGAAATGTGACACAAGGGGTGGCCAGGGTCCATGGATAGAATTCAAGAGGTCTGTGAACTTGGGTGTGGAAAAAAATGCATCTTTGTTTTCAGTGACTTCTGACTCCTTCAGTTATGAGTATAAGCATCCAACAATAAAAATGTTAGCAATACCTGTGATTTTATATCCAAGAGAAATCACATATTGTTACAGACATTTCAAAATATCACTTACGCTTATCTCTTTGAAATTACAGTACAGTATCAGACTTGTACTAGATCTTGTTCTTAGTGCTTTAATATAGAAGCACCTATAGAATTATACCACTGGTTTGTTTTTTAGTAGTTTAATAACTATATTTGAGTATTATCGATTTCCTTTGTATTTTATACATTTGGAAACATTATTCTGAGGATGGTCCACAGGCTTAACCAGACCGCCAAAGGCACCATGGCCCCAAAATGGTTAAAAGCCATGGTCCAAAGAGACCACTGGAGGGAGCCCTGGAGGCTGCTTTCTCTGCATGTTCCAGCTCACCTGGGCTGACCTTCCTAGTTTAGTTATCCGTGTTTACCATTTATCTTTATGCCACAGTCACCAGCTGACCCTCCTACGCGGCCCTCTTCTTAACTCATGGTTTCTCTATCCATCAGGCAATGTTTACAAGTTTCAGACTGGTTCCCGATTTCATGCAATACTGTGGCACAAGCATTTGGATGATGCATGTAAAAGCAACAGGCCTCAGGTAAAGTCACCAAAATCCTGCTTGTCACCTGAAATATCCTCTCCCACCCTTGGAACTAAGGGTCCTTAGAAAACAGGGTTCTCTTCTTTCAGAGCCCATTAGCCACACTCTCAGATACCCTCTTCTGATCAGCATCTTCCCTTGAGACAAGGCACCCCCTTGTTCAGCTTAGAACTAAGCCCAGCTCCAGACCAGAACTTTGAATGTGGTTCCTGTGTCTTTCCCACAATGGGAAATGCCACAGAAACACCCACTGGGGGATAGTTATGAGCAGCTGCGATATCACCCCAGGATCGGGTTCTAGCATCTATTTAGGTCATCCCTGCCAAGAGCTGACTTCATGGGAATACTGCACACTCACTCCTCCCTGCCCCACAACCCTTGGGGATGATGCAGCTAACTTACTGACAGCCAGCCACGGGCCAGGCAAGGCTGCTGGTGAAAGGGGTCCCTAGCTTCTCAGTGTGTTTGAACCAGTAGATTCTGTATTGACATAGGCCCCCTCTGGCCTACTGGACCTGGCTCGCGGTATGGCCCCCTCCCCTGGTCGCCCCCAGCCATCCCACCAAGGGTGTTACATGAAATGCTTCACGTGCAGGAATTGGCTGAATTCTCCCAACATCCCTGTGAGGTGGATTCTCTTACTGTCTCCATTTTACGTTGAGGATCCTGAGGCTCAGAAAGGGGCAGACACACGCTTAAGGTCCCACATGAGTGAGCAGTGGAGCTGGGATTGAACCCAAGTCTGCCTGACTCTCCTGATTCACTACTTGTTGCCCCTGAGCCCTCCTGCCTGTCCTGCCTCCACGTCCCTGGTAACCCCCGCAGCTGAGCAAAAGACCGGAAGCACATCCCCCGCTGTCCAGGCTTGTGAGAGAAATGGCTACCTTTGCCCTCAGCAGCAAATGGGAGCGGGCTGCAGCCTCCTGCTCCCTGGGGGTCAGGTGGGCAGCAGTGATGCTCCTGTCCCTAAGTGTCCATGTGTGTGTTCCCCAGGGATCAGCCAGAGGAGGAGTGGGGGAAGCAGGAGTCCTCTCCTAGCCCATCTTGGGCGGGCTAGGCGTATGGTATAGAGGGCTAGGCACATGGCATAGAGGGCTAGGCGCATGGCATAGAGGGCTAGGAGCATGGCATAGAGGGTGGCGCTTCAAGGAGGACAGTTGGGGGTAGTGCCGGGAAGTAGACTCAGCAAGCCTCCTTGCAGGTAGCAGCTCTGAAGTCTGGGGGACCTCAGCAAAGGCAAGTGCATACCAGGCATTTGGGTCCAGGAGGATGGGGACTTCATGGTGCCACAAGGCACAGTCACAGACTTCTTGGTCCCTCCAAGTGGTTCTGGAAGCTGGGGGGAGGTCTCTAGTGACAGCGACAGGTCCTAGGGCTCTGTGCTCAGCTCGGTCCTATTCAGGATCTGTAACACAGATGAGGACAAACACGAGCAGCTGATTGAAATTATAGATGATAAGAAGCTAGAAAGCAGAATTAGCAAGTTCTCAGAATTAGTCCTTGACCAACTAAAACAGGACAAGACCAATACAAGAGTAAACAGGTGCCACAGGTTCCAAATAAATTGCAGTTGATTCCCTTGACTCACCCGTCTGACTTTGGGGGATTTGTCCTAGGGATGTGCTCACACATGTGCTCAAAGGCGTGTTTAAGAATGTTCACTGCAGCATTGTTCTTGATAGGAACAAAACCCTGGTGGAAGCCTCTGTGACCCTCAGAGGGTCCCTGTTGTGCAACACTTGATAGTTTTTAGAAAGAGGCAGATCAGGGTAAAAACATTTGGAAAGGATGATCTCGTCTGTATAAAAGTTCTAAGATGATACACAAGAAATGGTAATTCTATCGTTTCTAGAGAGCTTTATATATAGTTTGTACATTGAATAAATGTGATTGGCCATCCGTATGACGGGAAGACAAGGGTTTTGGTCGGCAACCATGTCAAGGTGATCCCTTGAGACAAGGTGCCAAGACCTGAACGAGGCTGCTGCCGCCTCAGATTGCATTAAGAGAGGAAGAGCATCCTGGCCTCTTCCATGCTGGTCACATCGTGTGTGTCTGGGGTCCCTCAGTAGCTCTGAGGACCCCTCTCTAAGAGCACAGCACACTGAAGCTCACCTACCACACACAGGAAGCCAGAGCAGCTCCAGGTCCAACAGGTACTGACAGTCCCAAGGTGGACCACATGGAGGGCAGTATGGGGAAGGAGGCAGGGCCCTGTGCCTGAAGCCTGGGCAGCATGGTGGCCCCACCCAGGAGCCACAGTGGTAACCCTGAGCAAAACCCATTGTCCCTCTTTGGAGAAGTGGCCAGAGGATGACAGCAGCCCCAGCAGGCAGCGCAGGCTGATCCCGCAGAGCACTAATGGGTCAGTTTCATGTATTGGCAAATGTGGTGTAGCATGGCAAGGCTACAATTTTTAAGGATTTTTGTCTGATTTTCAGACCTGGAGGAGGGGATTTTTCTTCCTCCTTTTCCCCCTTTTTATTTCTAATTTACTTTCAACCAAATATTCCCACTCTATGCTACATGTAATAATAAAAAGTTGACAACAACTGAAATATTCAACAGCCGAGGATGATTTAAGTGAATCACAGTATGTCCATGTGATGGAATGCCAGGAGGGTGTAAGAAAGGGTGTGACAGAAATGCATCTATTCACGTGGAACAATCAGTGACTAGATTGATTTTCTATTCTGTGGAACTGCGTGTCCTAAACTTGTTTTTGTTAACATTGAATACACTTAAACCTTATCTATAACATATGTGTAGCTATAAACAACAGCAATGAAACACCCTATTGCCACCATGTGCCTAACAGCAGAGCCACCAGGGCCTTGGAATGCTGTCCCTCACCATGGCCTCTTCCTACTTTGGCTTGTTGCCCTCCCACCTGTGCCCCAGAACCGCTCTCCTGATTTGTCTGCTGATTATTCCTTTAGAATTACTGGTCACGTACTTGATTCCTTCATGTATCGTCTGGGGTGCATTTTAAAACTTTCTTATAGGCCGGGCGCGGTGGCTCAAGCCTGTAATCCCAGCACTTTGGGAGGCCGAGACAGGTGGATCACAAGGTCAGGAGATGGAGACCATCCTGGCTAACATGGTGAAACCCTGTCTCTACTAAAAAATACAAAAAACTAGCTTGGCGAGGTGGGCGGGTGCCTGTAGTCCCAGCTACTTGGGAGGCTGAGGCAGGAGAATGGCATGAACCAAGGAAGCGGAGCTTGCAGTGAGCTGAGATCCGGCCACGGCAGTCCAGCCTGGGCGACAGAGCGAGACTCCGTCTCAAAACAAAACAAAACAAAACAAAACAAAACAAAACAAAAACCTTTCTTATAAATAGAACCATAACGATGCATTTTCTTGTGTCTTGCTTTTCTCCTATAACATGTTCCTAGGATTCATCTGTGTTACCACATGTAGCAGTCATTCATTTATTTTTACTGATTTCATTGTTATTAGTTCTTCTGTTGGGCATCCCGGGACTGATTTTCTACTTTTTTGCTGTAGTGAACAGTGCTGCTAATGACCATTCTTAGAACTGTCACCTGGTACATGGAGAGGCATTTTTTTCCTAATTCATCATTTGACCAAACTGACACTAAAATGGATTTTTTTTAATGAAATTATTTCTAATCAAATCCTCCCCCAGCAGTGCCGATGGAGGAGGGCTGGGGCTGAGGGCCTGTTGGCAGCTTTTGGGGTTGGCAGAAACACTCTGACCTTGGGGCTAGTAGTCCCGCCAGTAAAGGGGGCTAGGATCTTGTCCTGGGCACAGAGCTATGGGAAGGTCTTGGGGTTTCTGATATCCCTGAACTGACTCTTTCTCCCGTGCTTCCCTTTGCCAACTCCCGCCACCCACCCTCTGCACACACCTCAGGCCTTCAGGATTTGTCTCTCTGCCCCAAGCGCAGTTTGATTTCCACTGAAGGAGACAGGTTGAGAGCGTGGGCTCTGGGTTCTTAGCCCTGCTGCTTACTTGCTGTGTACTGAACCTCTCTAAGCCTCAGTTTCCTCGTCTTTGTAATGAGGATGATGCCAGTGCCTGCCCCGTGGGGTTGAAGTGAGGACTCGAGGACGCAGTGCATGCGGTGGATTCCAAGCAGTGCCTGGTGCGCAGCTGCCACTTCACATGGGGTGGCTATTGTTATTGCCATGCCCTCTCCCTACCCAACCTGCTCATTCCCAGACTCACGGGGAAAGGCCTGTCCCTTCCTCTAGGGACCACCCCTTGTCCTCTGAGGTCGAAACTTTGACAAGAGACTGAGCTTTCTCTTCTAGGTACCTGCAAACCTTATGTCATTTGAGTAAGTCTCTGCAGGACGTGGCGTGACTTCAGAGGCTTCTGGGAACCCAGGCTGGGCCTGGTGGTGAAGAGCAGTCCTGGGCACAGGCTGTGAGCCAGGGTGCTGGGAAACTCACAGCCAGACTCAGGGGACACGGCCTGTGGCCTCACCATCCCAGAGGGCTCCACCAGTGCGGGATCCACCTGTCAGTCCCCAGCGACTCTCATGACACTCATTCTGCAGCACCGCCTCTCGGGGCAGTGGTCAGACCCCAGACCGGACACCCCACTCTCCCTCTCTGGGCCCACCACCTGCATCTGCGACTAGAGAGCACCCGGCCCACGTTGGGTTCTCTGTGCTTTCTACTGCACAGAGTGGACAGCGCTAACTAACCTGCGCGAGGGGCCCGCGAGGAGGAACAGCTGTGGAACAGGCTTTTTACACCCCAAGTGCATGGGGTTGCTCGCCCACAGGGCTGCCTCAGATTTTGTACAACCCCGAAGCGTCCTCTGCGTGTGCGTGCTGTACGTGTGTGTGTGAGCGAGTGTGAACTCTTCAAGAAACATGCATTTTGGCACAAGACTTGTGACATCACACACTTCATTCGCTTTGAGGCCCTGCTTTAACTTTAAGTTATAGCCCTGTCCACCGAGGAAGGTCAGAGTGAGAGCCTAGATTCCTCCTGTGTTAAGGGTCCCTCGCATTCTTTTACTGTAAACAAACAATGCCTTAAATTGTGTCTTGTTTTCTGTTCCTATGGGTGCTATTCATCTGGAAGGCCTGCTTCCTGGGGCCCCGGGTCCCTTCCAGGCCTCTTTGCTGTCAGCCCTTCTGAGACAGGACCTGGCTTCAGGACTGTGGACTGGGCTGCTGGCCTGCTTGCTTCCTCCCTTCCCCACTTCTAACAGGGCCTGAGGCCCTCCTCTTCTCACCCCTCCCACCATGCCAGAATGGGAAGTTGTGACGTTGCAGCTCCAACCGACGTGCTCATAGTGATCAGCTGTGCAGGAGCCAGGAGGCACCAACCTCTCCCTCCCCGCAGGGTGAAGCCTGTGCCCCCATCATCTCACCCCTTTGCCTCCACTGCCAGGGCGGGGCCCACCAAGATTCCTGATCATGAAGGGAAGCTGAGTGACCCTGAGACCTTAAGCTTCCCTAGTCTTGGCCCCAAACGCAGTCACCAGCAAGTTTTCCATTTTCCAAGTCCAAGGGCACAATTGTTGATGACCGTGTGACAAGAGAGCAAAGCCCTGGGGAGTGAACAGTCCAACCTCTGCATTCAGTTAGGAGCTCCTCACATGAACCACGTCCTTATCTGTCACCTTTTGTCACATTTTAAAGTGACTTATTTTGCACAAATACATTTTTATTCAAAATAATAAATTACTCTTTATCACAGTATCTTCTCTTCCCGCTTCCCCTTTAATTTGGATATCCTAACTCTGAGAAGTTAACCGTTAAACAGTTTTCCAGAAGAGACTGAATTTCTGGGTCCTTGCAGCTGTCATGGTTTCAGAGCTCACACCGATCAGGCATCAAGCTACCCTCAAGAGTTTCTGGGCTGGGTGCTTCAGAACAACATCGACACCAATAAACTGTAATAGGTCAGTTTTAAAACGACCAAAAGACCCACCACTGTATTTTGACCAAATAATGACAACTTCTCTAGAAATCTGAATGACTTGGTGAGGAAAGTAATTGTCACCAGGGCCTCATTTTGTGGTTGAGCCTTACTGTGCTTAGTAATTCATCTTCCTTTTGAGCAAAGACTAGAATACTTTCCTGCTAAGAGAAACTCCAGGTGATAAAGTTGATGCCATCAAACCTTGACACTGGGTGCTTTGCACACCCACGCGGATGTTGCCCCTCATTCTCCCGATGACTATTCGAATCAGCATCTAGAGGCTGAATGACAATGCCAAACACTCCAGACACCTCTGACCAGAACCATGCAGTGTTAACACTTTAACTTACATTCAATCTGATTCTACCTGTTACCTTCTAAAAAGTCGTAAGTTTGGATGAAAGTGCAAGATGTGGAACATCAACTACCTATTTTCCTTGGATTTTTCCATTCTGCAAACTGTCCGGGTTTTTCACACATGGAAGTATTATAGATGCCAATCCAAAAACCTCAGAATTTCAGGCACCACAAAAACAGGTAATTTTATATCCCTTATAAGTCTGTCTTGTCTTTCACAAATGTTTCAGCCTAATTTGAAATAGCACAATCACAATTCAAAATGTTTAGTCTTCTCACTAATTTAATCTGTTTCCACGTCCTCTCCCAAGAACATTCTTAGCTCGGAATCTTGAAGAATCACCTTAGACTTTGTTGGCAAAAGCCTTATAGAAGCAGTAAGAGCCTTGACCACACCGGAAGAGTCCTGGAGATAAGGCTGGAAGACACTCAGCTCTCTAAGCAGGGGCTCGGCCAAACATAGGCATTGAATGCTGCTTGTCTTCCCAGTGTTGGTTTGAACCCTGTGAGCCTGAGACAGACAGGGCCAGGCACCAATCACAAGGTGGGAAAGTCCATGGGTGGACCCTCCCCCTGGAGGGAAGCATTTCTAGTTTTTGCTCCTGTACTGTCCAGAGTGCACAAATGTTTATAAAGCCATTGAAGGGATTATTTCTTGCATGCATATGCTGTATTTTTTTAAGCAAATGGATCATGGCACCCCAAAATGAAAGTTACAGAAAGTTGTCTACAACTGTGGAGTTGGTAGCTGGTAACATTGTGGTCCCAAGAACAACTCACTTCTCTCCCTAGGACAGTTGAACATGTTTTGTCATTCAAGATCAGGACAGTTGAACATGTTTTGTCATTCAAGATCAGTCAAGTGCATTCTGGCAACTGACATATTGATGGAGGATTGATTTGGTAGAGAGCAGTAGAAATCTTGTTCTAACTGTGCCCAGTGAGAGACTTTGGCCCCCTCCCTCCCTATAAGGCTGTGGAACCCGAGGAAGTAGATACTTGAAGAGATTCTGTTTAGGAAGAAACTCACTCTCTTTTGCCAATTGAATTTATAGTGCATTTTTTTTCTTACCAAGATGGCCAGTATCATCCTACTCCCACCTCCCAAGCCCCAAGAGGTGTACCTTTTCGGATGCCATTTTACAGGCGGAAATGCTCCATGAAACAGGAAACCACTTGCAGGCAACATCTGCTCTGTTCCTCAGGTGAGGCCCAGAGCCCTTCCCCGACGCTGCTGATGTCCGTAACCACTGGGGAGCATTGCCAAAAACACAGCTTTCTGGTTTGTGAG